AAAGGAAATATTGTCGGGGAGAAGATTCGTGTAAAAGCTTCTCTTCCTGTCGAGGTGTAATGATTTTATTTTACTGCAGATTGCGCATAAAATTCTACATGTAGAGAACACCTAAATGTGGACATAGGGTACGACAAAAATAACATAAAAATGGTTACATGTTCGTATGAGGCTGCACTTCTTATTTATTGCTTATGTTGATACATATTTTCCCTTTAAGCTTCATGATATTACTGCGGTAAAAATAGTTTTAAAATTGCCTAATAAAAAGCTCAATTTACGCCCTTTCCCACATCGGCGCATGTAAACCAACATGCATCCTCTCACAAATGACAATGAAGATGAAGATGACTATTGAGAATTACCTCATGACCAACAACGTCGGCATACAACCAGTTTCATTAACACAACATCTTACCCTTTACAAGATAATTACCTTTCATTTACATATTGACCATTAACTTAATAGTTAATAGTGTTGAGGCAAAGAGTGTGAAACTTATAAAAAAAAAAAAATAGTCTTAAGAAATTTATATTCAATTCCAAGTTAATTAGGCAATGCAGAAATATAGCAATACATCCACTAATCTCTATCTTGTTAGCGCTCATCTCAATTATCAATGCACCCTTCTAAAATAAATTCATAGGAAACTACATTTTTTTCAAATAGTTCATATCATAGAATTGAAATAGACACAAGCATAAATAGTTGCATCTCTTAGGATAGCACATCAAAGAGTGTGAGCCCGAACAATCTTAAATATCATTAAAGATAAAAATTTATGTCAAGCTATGTTGCACCAATACGGATACGGCGACACGGATATGGGACACGACAATTCTAAAACATACAAGATACAGATATGACGCAGATACGGCATTATAATATATAAATCATACATAAAAAATAACAAATTAATCAAAACATAATATTTGAAATGACAAAAAAAAATGAAAGCAACATCATTTGTAGCATTGTATCTTATAATATCAAAATAAAAGTAAGCATTAAATATTTAAATGTCTAGTACACCAACAAAAACATAAACATAAATTGTCCAGCAGATGAAGTTTTTAATTAAAAGTACAAAGGATTGACATAATTAATCCACATGAACTTGAAACATTAACGTTTTTAATAAAAACTATAGATATGTTGCGCCTATGCCGGGGGTCCAAGGGGGCAGTTCCTTTATTGTAATAGTTGCTTTAAGGTTTTCTCTACCTTCTCGGCACTGCTTGGTACCATTCGGTACCCCTCTGTACCGAGCAGTACCGAGTTTTGGTACCGAGTTCTGGTACCGAGCAGTACTGAGTTCTAGTATCACTCTGTACCGAGCGGTACCAAGTAGTACCGAGCGGTACCAAGTAGTACCGAGCAGTACCGAGCGGTACCGAGTATCGAGCAGTACTGAGTTCTAGTATCACTCAGTACCGAGCAGTACCAACAAGTACCGAGAGGTACCGAGTACCGAGTAGTACTGAGTACTAGTATCGCTCGGTACCGAGCAGCACTGAGCAGTACCGAGTACTAAGCAGTACAGAGTACCAAGTGATACGCGTGCGTGTCCAATCAAATTTAAATAATATTTTAATTAGACACGACAAAGCCGTATCCGTGCCGTATCGGAGGCGTATCTATATTCGACACGTGTCCGATACAGCATGCCTCATAAATAGCTGTATTCGTGCAACATAGGCGTCAGGATATCTTAATAAAAAATTATTAAGATGGGGCTCTAATAGGAAGTGGATGAAAATTTTGAGAAAACTAGGAAGAAAGAACTCATAGGAACTTTTTATTGAAAGATATATGAAAGAAAAAGTAAGATACAATTGGATCTTCCAATGGAGAGGAAGATCCGGCTCTCCTAAATCCCTAGCTGCCGGCTAGAGCCCTCTCAAAAAAGACTATAGCAAACACAAATCACCTCACCCAAAATAACAACATAGTTAGCCTTAAAGAGGCTCCCATATTTCCCTCCTAAATCAGCTCACTTTCCCTAAATAATTCTCTCTTAGATCTTGAATTCAAATTAGATCATTTGCCCAAAATAATTCCCTCCCAATTATAACTAAAATTTTCCTAAACAATTCCTTCTTGATTCCTCCTCTCTTTCCTTAAATAATTCCCTCTTAAATTTTGAATTCAAACTTGATCTCTTGCCCTAAATAATTCCCTCACAATTGTAATTAAAACTTTTCTAAATAATTCCCCTTTGATTAAGAACCTTCCTAAATAACTTCCTCTTAATTAGGAAACTTCCTAATTCCTTTCCAATTAAATCGGTCGGCCCATCAATACTCCCCTCCCAAAGTCTTACCTTGTCCTCAAGGTAGAATGAAGAAAACTGCTGCTAAAGCACTGGACTAATAGCATTGAACTGAAAAATGAATTGTCACTAGTCAAATGATCTCTTCCACCAGCATCTCCCAAATAAATCTCTCGATCTCATCATTCTGAAGTTGGAGAGAACGATACAGACGAACAATGATATGTTAGACTAATTCCTTCAAAATGATAGCATGCTAGCGTTCTCGCAGAGGAGGCAACCCTTGAACAAACTGTAACATCTCTCGATACAGCTGTGGGAGTGGTTGAATCTTGTCTGGTGCTTTTATCTTCTCCTCATCTTCTTCTCCTTCCAAACTCTAAAGCTCCACCAAAAATCTCACTCCTTCACCCATTCACCTCCTTGTACGTGGTTCCAAAGGTGGCATCACCTCTTCTTCCCCCAAAATTTTCACCTCCTAATTCTCCCTCATTATCCCTATATTATGGTTTCCTCGATTTCCTTTCCAGTTCAATGATACTCTCACCTCCGATATTTTCGGTTTGGTTTGGCCCTCGAGCAGCTCCTGCCTTATCTCCTCTCTGATGGCAAAATTTTCACTGATTTTCTCGTGGACGACAGAAATTTGAGTCTGATCTCCCTTTCCAATATTTCTATCTTTCTTCCTACCATAGGTACACGGATCTAGGCTCTGATGTCAATTTGATAGGAAGTAGATGCCAATTTCAGCAAAACCAGAGAATGATACAAGAAATATAAGAAGAAGAACACAAAAACTTTTTTTTTATTGAAAGAATTAAGAAGAAAAAAAATACATTTGGATATTCAATTAGAGAGGAATATTCGGGTCTCCCAAATCCCTAGCCGTCGGCTAGAGCGCACTCAACCTAAGTAAAACTAATTCCAGCAAAATCAAGCATAATCTAAAATCACCCAATAGTTAGCCTTAAATAGGCTTCCCCTAATTTCCTCTCAAATCAACCCCCTAGCCTTAAATAATTTTCTTTTCCTAATTAATTTCTCCCAATTATAATTAGAAACTTTCATAAACAATTCCCCTGGATTTTCCCTAAATATTATCTCCCATGGATTTTCCCTAAATAATTCTCTCTCAAATTTAAATTCAAATTAGATTTCATTCCTTAATTAATTATCACCCAATTATAATTAGAACTTTCCTCTCTCTCTTCTTGCCCACTGCCCACCCTAGTGGAGCCCCACGGTTCAGCCGCCGGTCCATTCGGCTCAAAGCCCGTAGATCTACTTTGATATTTCTATAATACTAATTACCTATATATTGCACAAATCTCACAGCATACCCAAGGTCTCTAAAGTCCATTCAAATAAAAATTTTGGTCAGTAAATCGTAGCAGAATTTCTCCCCATCATTAAATTGGTATCAAGAAAAAATTAAATATTGGATAATAAAAAATTTCTTGACTAGGGCCTTATAAAAACAAATTGGGCATCTAACGAATTACAAAAATATGATGCTTAATGCTCCACATAAAGAGTGCCAACAAAGCACTTCCTCCACATAACTGAAGCTGAATTTAGTTCGCATTTTGGTTGCTTGTAAAATGTTGATAGAGAACTTGCAGAAAATGAGGATTTTCTTTGTCTCATTTGAGCGAGAAATTTAAACCCTCACTTCACATAGAGTTTTGAGGATGTTTGTGGAGTTTGAATCAATGTTATTAACTAATTACATACAACCAAATGATGCATTAAACAAACTTCTTCATTTTTCGAAATTCAAGCCACCAAATAAGCCCTTAAAATCAATAACGCCCAAGCTCCAATCAAACAAAAAAAATAATAAAAAAGACAAAAACTGCAATTTTCGGCCTTTACAAAACCAAAAACCAACTAGTTCCGCTAGCTAAAATCGGATTATCTGCTAATCCTCCTGTTTAAAACAATTGCTTGGAATTAAATAAGAAATAAAAGTCACCTTGGTAAGGACTTGAAGAATCTCTGCCAACTTAAGCAAGGGTTGAAGAATCTCAGTTAACTTCAGCAAGAGTTTGAATCATCTAAACAAAATACTCCGAACTTGTTGATTTGATTTGGCCCTTGGCTTGTGGATGCTGAAGAGATTACAGATAGCCCTAATTCCAACCAAAGAAATTCCTATCCTATTGGAATAAACCAATAGCTTATTTGCCCATAAGAAAGGCTGAAATTGCGTTTTTTCCCCTCATGCTTGCTTTAGAAATAGGAGGAAAAAAAATTCTTGAAAATATGCTCGTTCGGAACAAAATACTTGAAAATATGATCGTTCCGATAAAAAAATCAAATAGAAGGCTATTTGATTAGCTAAAAAATAATGCAGTATAAAAAAAATATAGTGTAAAATAAATATTTTAAAGTTGTTTGGATTAGTATAAAATAAATGCATGTGAATATTTTTTTTGTTTGAAATGTGAAGGTGGTATAAAATTCAAATAGGGTGATGGTTGATGGCGGTGATGGTGGCCGGCAACATATGGTTATAGTGGTGGATGGCGGTTAGGTGGCGGCAGCCGGTGGTGGTGGAGGTCATCCATGGTTGGTGGTGGTGGCGGCTAATAGCTAGTGGAGGCAACCAACTGTGATGGAGGGCAACCGACAATAGTGATCGGGGGCGAGTGGCGGCAACGGCTTGCGGTGGTGACAAGTGACGAGTGGCAATAATAGGCGGTGGATGGCGATGGTGACCAGCTGGTGACAGGTGACGAGTGGCAATAACACCCATTTTAATAATTTTTTAATAAAAAATTATTAAAAAAAAATTATTAAATGATTGAATAATAAATTTGAATGAGATTTATTCATTGTATGACATGACACATTAAATTCATAGACCGATCACAACAAATATAACATAATGAATTAAACTTAACATGGGTCGAATAATGATTGATTAGGGTTCAAACAAGGTACATACAACATAGAGGGATCATAGTATAACTAACAGAATATAACCATACCACATGAAAATAACAAATTATACATTACTACACAAACCATGTAGCAACAAAAGTTTATGAATTATAATTGATTCATGTAATAAAATAGTTGTGAAGGAAGGGGACACTTGATCTTATAAGTCGATTATGGCCTTTAAATAAAAAAAAGATCAAGAACTGAAATACTCATTTGCACCCTTTATTTATAAGGATACAAATGCTACATGTGTCACGCCCCAAGATCTGTATTAAAAGAATTATATTTGTCCTAAATTTTAGCCATTTAACTACAGTTTACCAATTTCTTTTGAACAACAGAAAGAATTATGCAAGTTGCCCGGAGCCTTATATCTATGATCATTATATTTTCCTGAAAATATGTAAAATTATGTAATAAGCATATAACCCAATATATATTCTAAATATTACACCTGAAATTAATGCAAGGTAAGGATAAACAGTATGTTGTAAATCATATAAAGAAATATATGCATTAATATATCTATGTCGATTATCTATATCAATAATCAGCATATAACATATCATATCTTCGTCAGTTCTATTTCATTCTTCAATCATAAACTTTAATCAATTAATTAGTCAATCAATCTTTATCACTCATTCAATTCCATACAATTTTATCATCCATTCAGCTCATATAAATTTGTTAGTTATAATCACAACATCAATAATAATATTTAGTATTAGTAACAGAACTGTATCAATAATCAATATCAATATCAAAAATTAGTAATTAGTGTCAATATAAGTATTCATATCAGTAATTAGTATCAATATCAATAATCAATATCAATAACAATTTCGATATCAATATTAGTATCTTACATTAATATGAGGGTATCTTGAGTTTATGGGTATTATGTGTAATCAATTATACCAGTGAATCAGTGTTCTATTAGATATTCATATGAGGGTCTTGTTACGGCTCTTATGAGTCTCAATCAGTCACCCCTCATGATACCCAATAAGTATACTCAATTATAACTCCCCTTGAATCATGTGAATTAGTTGCTTTGACTTCTTATATCTCATAATCAATATATAACTCCTTATGACACCCATCCACTGACTCCTATCAGTCATGAAGATACCTAATCATATATATAATATTAATCATTATATCATATTTAAATATCATATCAGATTTAAATTAATAGTAAACATTCTTACATAACTCAATCATATTAATCATTTCAGTACATATTACCTTGCAATCATATAATATTCACAATATAACACTTTTCAACC